CAGGAGGATTAATACAGGAGCCCTGTTCGTCCTGGCAAACAATCTGGAGCGACACACCCAGCAGAAATCTCTTAGTCCCTCATTCTGTTTATTTTTCTCTCTGCAAAAACACAGGATGCAAAGCTCGGCCCGTTTAAATGGCAGCCCTCGTCCTCGACTTCACACCCAATCTGACTCCATAAATAGGCTGCGAGGACAGGCACACCTGACCCAAAAATGTAAGACGAAGAAAACTGATATTTTTATGGGTTTTTCAAGATGCGTCAACACATTTTGTTTTTCTGTGCAAACATACAGATTTGACTCAGATAATAAATCTTTGTTTGACCTATGAATGCTGCGTGATATGTAATATGGTATGTAATATATTCTAAACAGCACTTACTGCTGCTTTTCTTTTGGGGAAGCAAACAAAAGCATTCTTTTATCCCTCTGTGTTATTTGCGTCATTCGGTCACTGTGACCTTTGGATCCACGACTCTAACTCGAGAGGGCTCAAGAGCAAATCGAAGGGCTCAGAGATGAGGACATATTTTCATCTTCTTTTTCTATTTCGCCATATAGCTTTAAGACAGCCCACACTTCTAAAAAAGCATTACATGATGCGTTCAATCAAGTGGAAACTCACAGTGCAAGCCGGTAAAACTGCAGTGTCACTCTCATTTCTGGCGTTGCACTCAGAAGGTAAGCACTGGACTGATTTCTTTTTATAGATGTCAGTTGTCACTTGTGTAACTCGCTCTGATTTGGACACATCCTGTTTCACAAACAGCGGGCCAACCTCCATTCATCTGCACGTCTGGTGTGAAACTTTAATGTCATATCAGATAACACTATCAAAACAGAGGGAAGCCTTGGTGCTGCTTAATTTTCCCTTTTGGCAAACATGGTTATTATTCATGAGTTAAGTGCAGCAGATCTGCTCATAAAGGTTTAATTGTCTACTTTCTTTTTTTTCCTCCCATATTTTGGAAAGCAAATCCAGACCATAAGTATCTGAAGAGCTGCATATCTTTGCTTCAGATTTGATTTGATCGTTAACAGAATACTGGTGTTTAGCAGAGAACGTCAAAATCAGATCGTACCTGCCTAAAACACGATGCTCTTACCTTTAGACTTCAAGCTGAGATCAAGTGATTAAACGGGCCAAGATTTAGGATCATTGTTTAATAATGAAGCGTTGTCCACTGGGTTTCAGTGCATTTTGCTTAATTAGAGCACACAGAATGCTCATATAGACCACCCTGTTACATCCAGCAATAGACCAACAATAACAATAGATGGCAGCGTGCCAGTTCCTTTGGCAAGCCATACATGCTCAAACAGAAGCACCACCGAGTCTGATGATGAATGAGTGTTTCGGCTAGTGAGTCGTTCCTTGTTCTCTTCAGTTCGCTCTATACATGAATTTTTTTTTTTTTGACAGATTCATGTTTTCTTTCAGCATCCCACAGAAATTGGATTCAAAATGATGCAGGGCTTTTTTTTTCTAATTGCGAGTCCTCCGAGGCTTCGAGGTCTTTGCTTGATCGTTGACAAGGACTCATGACATATTGCAGACATAAAACAGGGTTTTCTTAAACACACAAATCCACTCATCCAGATAACTTGTATTCCACTGTATAACATTTTATTATTTTCATGTGTTCACCTACCTTTTAATAATAATAATAATAATAATAATGATGTGTACTTTATTGATCCCCGTGGGGAAATTCCTCTCTGCATTTAACCCATTCACTCAGTGAAGCAGTGGGCAGCCATTGGACACCCAGTGTGTAGGGACGGTCCCTTCCTCAGGGGTACCTCAGGGTGGCCGTTCAGCGGATTCAAACCCCCGACCTTCCGATCATGGGGCCACCACTCTACCTACTGAGCTATCCCTGCCCCTTGTTGTTTTTAAATTAACCCAGCTGCCTATTTTGGGGGAAATAACAACCTTTAATGTCTGGAAATACATTATTAACTTCAAATTACAAGTTGAATCCACACACAGCTAACCTAAAGTCTTATACTCTTACCACGTTGAACTCCCTTTTCCCTTTAGGAGTGCTTTAATTCTTCCTAGCACAACTTCAACAAGGTGCCGATGGATGACAGCATCACACAGGTGCTGCAGATTTGTCAGCTGCACATCCATTTGGTCAATTGCCCGTTACGCATCCCAAAGGTAGAGTAAATTTATTGTCATGTTCAAGAAACCAGTTTGAGATGATTTGAGTTTTGTGACATGAAGCGTTATCCTGCTGGAAGCAGCCATCAAGAGATGAGTATACTGGGGTTATGAAGGGATAGAGATGGCCGGCAGCAATATTCAGGCAGGCTGCGGTGCTCAAATGATGCTCAGTTGGTACTAAAGGGCTCAAAATGAGCCACAAAATTATCCCTAGAACCATTATACCACCACTACCTGCCTGAACCGCTGATACAAGGCAGGATGGATCTATGGTTTCGTGTTGTTTAACAAATTCTGACCCTGTTTTTCGCAGCGGAAATCGAGACTCAGCAGATCAGGCAACGTCTCACCAGTTTTCTACTGTCAACTTTTGGGGAGCTCGTGTGAGTTGTATTTTCAGTTTTCTCTTTGCTGACATGAGTGGCACCCAGCGCGTTCTTCTGCTGTTGTAGGTTATCATTTTAAAGGTTTCACATATAGTGTGTTCAGAGATGCTCTTCTGCATAACTTGGTTGTAGCTACTGTTACCCTCCTATCAGCTCAAAGCACTCTGGTCATTTCTCTGTGCCCTCTGGCATCAACAAGATATTTCCAAACAGAGAACTGCCGCTCACTGGATACTTCCTTTTTTTGGCCTGTTCCCTGTAAACCCCAGAGACGGTTATGTGGGAAAACCCCAGCAGACCAGCCTGGCTGGCACCAAGCACCATGCTATATTCAAAGTCACTTAAATCACCTTTCTTCCCCATTCTGATGCTCAGTTTGAACTTCACCAGGTTGCCACGACCACATCTAAATGCACCGAGTTGCTGCTATGTGATTGGCTGATTTGCGCTAACGAGCAGTTGTACCCAATGAAGAGGCCAGTGAGCGTAGGCATGAATGAAAACACTATCCTAACAAACTGATGTGAACTTAAAGATGAAACTTGGCCCTTTAGTGTATTTTTTATTTGATCTGAAAGTGAATGTTGCAGAGAGACGCCGAGTTTGAAGAATGAAACATGTGCAACTGTTCCAATGCTCCCAATCTGGACTGCATGTTGAGGCTAAAACACAATCAGCATAGAGATTCGGGTCTGGCAGCTTGTCTGACCTGCACCCTGTCCAAAAAGACGGAGCGCTTTAATAAAGCCTCTCCACTGACCAAATTCTCTCTACGTGGCATAACCTCCCTCAGAGCTGCTTTCTGTGACTGCACCTCATCTGGGAGATTCATTGTGCTACTCAAAGAGAGACAGGGAGACAGAGAGAGAGAGAGAGAGAGAGAAGTCAACACGGAACAAAATGTTTCAGGGAAGCTGATTTATCCTCGTTTATTGGTCCAAGCGTCTAGAAAAAAAGAAATTTGCCACAGAAAGCAAGTGAGAAAAGAGTCAAGTATGACGAGAGAAAACTTGGATCTATGCTCTCAATAAGCAACTAAAACGCTCTCATGGCTGCATTATCTGTTACTCTTTGATGGAGCTGTAATTTCTCACAAACACATACAGTCCCCTGTGTATGAGCTATTCAGAAAGCCTCAAATCTAAATGGAAATCTTGCCTGCTTGTTCCCTGTAGGTCTACTGTAATTGTCTCTGTCAGGGTCATTAGGAAGAGGGAATGTGTGTAGTTTAGAAGAGAAGCAGCAGACTTCCTCAACTGTAGCTTAAAGAGTAATGCTTGTTTTAAGTAGCTACTGTTGGTCTGCATGCAAATCTGCTCTTAGAGAAGTCAATTTGAAGACTTCTTGATGGTAGCGAAGCACAGAGAGCAGGGATTCCTGTCCAGTGTGTACTAAAACTATTCCGTTTTTAAGTATCGTCAGACCGCTAGCAGGACAAGATGAAAAGAAAAATGTTGCTTGGCTATAAAGGTCAACCCATTACTGTGCTGTGTAATTTTTAATGGACAGCCTCTCTGTGAAGTTTCTAAAAAATAAAAAAAAACCATCAAGTCAAAGGCAACATAAGCTATAGAGTCAAAAACTATTTTCTCACATGAAGGCCAGACAGTGTCAGAACAATCACATCCCTGAATCGCCCACCTGGAAACACTCATTCGGTTTCGGGAAGGAGTGACGCAGCGTCACTACAGCGTCCATGACACATGACAACAACTTTGTGAATTCCTTGAAACGATCCCTTTCTCACAGACTTTGTCACTATAGAGCTGGAATGTTTCTAGAGAACGTATTATGATCATTTCCTGTTGCACATTTTTATGCATAGACACCACCAGATTTGCTTTGCATTGAAGTTTAAAAACATTCATTATTTACACCATATTTGGTGCAAACTCTCAGTTCATTCGCTGCCTGAAATGAGCCTTTTCCTCTCTCCTGCTTGCTCCGTTTAAGGCTTTTGATTTGATGTCTTTCAGGTAGTTTGAACGGTAGGTGGGTGGAGCTTCTGCGCTCAGCTACAGCTGTGGTCTCCGACAGGGTCATATTAAAGACATCAACTCTCACAGAAATCATCAAAAAACAAACAAACAAAAAAACCCCAACAACAACCCTGTCCACAGAGCAGGGACAGAGGGAATCTCCCCTTTTTGTCAGTGTAAAGAAGTTGGACTACACATTTAATCCCTCAGATATCTTAATAGAAGAAAAGGGAAGTACAATTTCAAATGAAAGATCTGTCATCACGATTCTTTGGACTCGGAATTGTAAAAAATAAAGAAAAAGTTCTGATACTTCATTGTGTTATAATCAGTTTTTAAATCACAGAAAGTTTTCTGTTATGGTTTTATTCATCTTACTGTGGAGTCATTGTAAAATAAAAAAAAGAAAAAAAAAGGGAATTTCTATTGGAATTGGTGAAAAAAAAATGGGAACTTTTCTGTCATTTAGTTGTTTATTTTTGACATAATTACTTTGGTGTCATATGAATGGTCATGAGGAAGGATTTTAGCAGTAGGAAATGCAGTAAAATGTATTAAAATACAGTACATACAATTTAAGCCCTCCTTTACATTTTCCAAAGCCATCCAGTGGGCCGGATGGGAGTCCTTGCCAGGCCGATTCTGGCCCATGGGCCTCACATTTGAAACCCGATCTAGAGCATTGCAAAGCCTGATCGTTATACTTAAAGAAAACTTGAAAACTTTAGTACTGCAGTGCATGTCTCTGTATACGGCTATGCAGAGATCTCAAAAGATTCTTTCCACATTTCTGTGGCTTCCTCAGAGCACATAAGCATATTCCAACCTCAAATCTTTCCAAATGTTTATGTACAGTCACAAGCATTCAAACATTTTGGCTCGTGTGGAAAAACATTCTAACAGCACCCCAACGTTTACATTTTTTCCACCCATTTTCATTTAATGCACTCTACAATCAAAGTTTTTAATAAGAATGCAATGCCAGAGAAAAATACAATCTCTGAATATGACCTTACCAGAATTGATGTAAGAACATTCTCTTAAACCAGAAGGCTCATTCCATACTCGCTGAAGAGTCACCACCCATGCAGCAAATCCTTTTTGACAAACATATGTACCAAGGCACACATTCATACTTAAGCTGCTGTTCCATCGGACTCTGTGCTGTGTGAGCCGACGGAGAGGACGTAAAGGCGAGTTGTCGCCCTGGGGGGGGGAAAGAAATGTGAGGGAGAAGTCATCATGCTTGGTGCATAAACAGCTTTTAACCTGAGGGGAAAAAGCTTATGGGGGCGTCTTCAGGGTGCAGGTCTCGCTGTGCTGCATTTCAGTCTCTTTCCTTTTTTATGTGCAAAACACGTAATACTCAAGTTCGCGTATCAGCATGCCCTCAGTCTGAATCGGAGGAGTCATTAGTTTTGGACTTGTGCTTTCGCTTCCTCTTGCTCTTCTTTTTGTCTTTCTTCTTTTTGTCCTTCTTCTTTTTCCTCTTCTTTCTGCGATGGTGATCAGAGGAGGAGGATGAAGGAGAGGAGGAGCTGTCTGAGTCGGAGGCGGAAGAGGAAGTGGTGTCCTGGAGCAGTTGCTGCAGCTGCTGGATCCTACAGACAAGGAGGGAAGGCAGGAGAGAAGAGGATGTGGTATTTAAGTCAAGTGCAGGGAGGAAAGTACAGCTGAGGCATACTGATGCCCAGGTTGGCAAGCATCTCAAATGTCACTGAGCAGCACACTGTCTTTGTCCCAGTACCAGCATTTCCAGAAGGCGGAGTGAGCCACGTGCCCGCTTGTGGTTGCGTATTTCTAGTAATGTTAGCAACCCTGTCCAAGTAACTATTAAAACTGCAGGTCTGTGAAGGATTTTAAAATACATGACTTGGGCACATATTTAGTTTTCAATTAATCTTTTTTAAAAGGTGTCCATTATTGCTTAAATCCAAAGAGGAGGAGACAATAATGACTTCATCGTCAATTTTGTTTTGGTCATGCACTTTCAGGCATTTTTAAATGGTTTCTTCTAAGTTTTTTGGGAAGTCTGATTCACTCATAGATATCTTTATCTTTACCAAACAAGTAAAACTCATTTTAATTTAAATGTTCACTTTTGTTGGAGTGCTCAGTTTTGTAAGAAAACATTCTGTACACACGTATGATTTGGGGTTTAGTTTAATAAGAACACACCAAATCTCAGACTACTATGGAAACATTCAAAAAGACTTGCATATTATTATATCTTTAGCACCTGCATGCTTCGATGTATTCTCTTTTACATGAAACACACTTGAGAAGACAAGTGCATTACAAATGAAGGCTCAGAATCACAGAACTGAGACTACTGGTGTCTCTAGCTGCTTTCTTAAACTGGGCTAGGCAGCCAATCAGACAACACAGACTGAAGGGCAGGACTCAAAGAAAAATAAAGTGTATTGGAGGGCCCTTCAGTGATGCAGGACTCCCTTAGAAAAAATACACAAGCTCTAAAGGACTCTAAAGCAGAGTGGATGAGAAGAATTAGAATAATCTTCAGAAAAATCACAAAGTCTTTGTCTTAAGAGTCTAAAACGTTCAAAAAATAATCATCAGAAAGAGAAGCCTAAACAGCCATGTTTTGGTCTACGTGACCTTTAAACTGAGGTGTTAAAACAGCTTTTTAGTTATAATTCCTTTACTTGATTGTGCTCACACTAAAATTTACATTACACAGAAAGCTAGGAAAAAAACAAAACAACAAACAGGATTTAAAACGAGACCATGCAGCTCTCCCCTCTCCCCAATCATACCGAACAAGGCCAAAGACTCCTGTCACAGAGTCAGTCTTCTAAAGCCTGAACCATCCAGGTGGTGATGGTGGTGCTGGTGCAGGAGGTAAGGTCCTTCTAAAACAAGCTCAACTGCAAGATTTTAAAAGGTGATTTTGGGCTACTTGTCCAGTAACACCAAAGACTTCCTGCACATCCTGGCTATAATTTGGAACAGAATTTGTACTTTACAGATCTAACAGTGTATCTTTAATATTTTGTGACTTTGGGTTACAAAACATTAGATGATGGGTACACTGTGGTCATAAAGAGATGGAAATGCCAACAATACTCAGGCAAACTGGATTTCAATGACGCTCATCTGGTACTCAGGGACCCAAAGAAAATATTCCCCCACACCATTACATCTCCACCAGCAGCCTGATACAGGATGGACAGGTGTACCTAATAAAGTGCAGGGGTTTGTCTTGTCCTCAGACTCAATTTCTTGCTGCAGCTGTACCAAATACACAGAGTAGAGTTTGTGTGTACTGACGATGTTATTGGAGGAAGAAAGAGCTAGCAAACGTTGTCCACAGATTTCCACTGAGAAATTGCTTCAACTGGGCATCAATACTATGTTTGCAAAAGCCCATTTCTTAGAAAACAATTGCATCAGCTTGAGACACACTGCGAGAATAAGGCTGAAGGACACTGCTGTGCTACGATCAGTTGTGCGTACAGCAGCTGACAATTCAAGTGCAAAAAAAGACAAATGGCATGTGTGAATTATCACCAGAGTAAATTTAATAAATAACATGAAGCTAAGCAGGATATTTGTGCTAAAGAAGCTGCAGCACGATTAGATTTTGTTATGGAAGCATGTGTCAGAGTACGCTATTCAATGTCTGGCATAAATATTAGTGCTCATACTGCATTTCTGAGTCACGCTGTAACACGTGAGCAGTAAGGTGACAACAAAACTTACACGGCTCCAGTAGAATCCTTCTGCTGCAGCGTGGTAAGGCATTTCTTTCCAGGGAAATTTGTCCTAAATGGACTGTAACTCTGAAAATACCACCCCTCTTTAGCTTAGTAAGACTGTTACTGCTTCACGTCAGGCTCTGCCAAACTCTGGAGTGAATTTCTGAACAGGATGGCGGCTTCAGATTTTGTCCCCTATTTCTTGAACTGAAGCGGTGCTCTGAGAGAAAAACATCATCATATTCAACGCAAAAATGTGGCCCTCCAAAAAACTATTTGGGCGACATATATGATAAAATTAAAAGTCATACACTCAGAAAATAAGCCAAAAAGTAATTCTAACAAAAAACCAAAACTCTCTTTTCCTAACTTCTTCATCAATTACCCAATTGTGACACAAGGCTACCGCATCAAGCACAATTTAATAGACAGCACCTTACATGCAATTAGAAAGCAGGCTGGCAGAGGTTGGACTGTTTCACTCCCCTTTCAAAGAAGATGCCAAAATTAATGTGGCACAGACACGCAAGTAAGACTTCAAAGCGCCACTGGCCTTTAAATAACCTTTTTGATATGCATGCAAAAATACACAAGCATGTGTGCGCGCGCACAATCGCGCACACTCTTCTTCCTGAACTAGCCTCAAATTCAAACATCCTGGTGTCAAACAGTATTTGCTAGAAACTGGCACAAGCAGCCAGCAACCATGAGAGACTTTCCAGGTCATCTGAGATTGTCCCACTCCAGCGAGAGGACACAGTGGAAAACTGAGTTTTCAAGTATATGATCTGAGTATTACGAGTCTCCATTGTGTCCTTTAATAGCGGTGGAAAATTATGAGTCTTTCTCTGGGAAATTAACATGCACACAGCAGGAAAATGACTGTACATACCTGGTTTCCTTCTCATTCCTTTTGTTTTCCCGAATCAGGTCGTACATTGGGTCTTCGTGTGCCTAATAAAATATAACACAATGTCGCACAAAAAGAAGGTAAGGTGCTACAATTCACACTATATCCAGGAACTATAAATTCCAAACAGTGTTGTGTCAGCACTTTTAGGAATATCGAGACAATAGAAGGAAAATATGACACAGTTGCATTTATGGTAATCATTGCAGGGGCTGAGCGTTCCTGCAGCGAGCACTGTTTCATTAAAAGTACACTGGAACGAGCTGTGTGCAGAGATCTGCTGCCCACATGTGTAAACTAAATGTGACCTTACTTAACTTTAGTCTCTGACACAAACTGTCTCTGTCATAGCTCCACGACATAAACGCGACTACTAACTTTTTTCTACTGCATTCACGCATTTTTCTATAGCAAGGAACCGTAGGTGGGCCAACTATTCTACAGCAGTAAACAAACTCACCACTCTGAAGTGCTCCAGTTTCTGGTTGCCTGTGATGAAGAAAGGACACTCCCGATCACCTGTCCTGTGGCCGTAGCGCTTGCACCTCCAGCCTTTACAAAAGGAAACAAAAATCATTGTTTCTCTAACGAATCAGACATTTCATGTACATGGCAGCAGATTTGCTATTAAACAGATGTCCCACATAAAACTGGCAAACTTTAGTTTGCCAAAATAACCCGAACTCATGGTGCTTTCAACAGTAGTTCGATAGAATATGCTCAGTGTCATGGTTATCGTGAGTTGCCATAAATGACTACGCAGATGCACCAACTGGTCACCAATCGCGTGGCAGCCATCATGTGCATTCAGACATGCAGAAATGATCAAGACAAGCAGCTGAAGTTCTTAATGTGTTTGAACGTGGCATGATTGTTGGTGCCAGACAGGCTAGTCTGGGTATTTCAGAAATTCCTGATCTACTGGGTTTTTCCCCAGACAACCAGTGTTGGGTCTGAAAAAGAAGGAAAGTTGTCCTTGTTAAGTGCTTTGTTAACGTCAGAGAAGAATGGACAGACTGCTTGAAGCTGATAAGAAGCCAACACTAACTCAACAAGCACTTGTTACAACCAAGGTAAAGTTTACACACGCTGGTGAAAAATGAACAGAAGAAGATTGGAAAAATGTTTCCTGGTCTGAGGAGTCTTTCTGCTGCAACACTTGGTCGGGTTCAGAATTTAGTGCAAACAACACAAAAGCAGGAATCCACCCTGCACTGTTTCAACAGTTTAAGTTGTTGTTGGTGTAATGATGTGTTTAATGTCTTCTTATGCACACTCTGTGCCTCTTAGTACCAACTGAGCCTCATTTAAACGCCACAGCCAAGCCGATTATTGTTGCTGACCATGTCCATCCCTTCATAATTACAGTGCCCATGACAATCTCAAACATGACAATCAAGTCACTCTACCTTTGGGACGTCGTGAAATTTACATGGAGGATGATCAGCCGCAACTGTGTGACATTATCATGTCAACATGGTTCTCTGAGGAATGTTTCCAGCGCCTTGTTGAATCTATGGCTACGTTCATGTATACTAACAAGGATTTTTCCGCGTTCATTCTGAAAAACATTTCGGTCCACATGAAAACACCAAAAACAACTTCAAGTGGTGTCAAGTGCTTGCCAAGGGAACGTGTGGTGTTATAACCCCAACTGTACAGAAATACTGGCCAATCAAAAACCTTACAAACAATAACATGGCCACAGTCTGACGTCAAAAAGGGAGATTAAGTCGCACACCTTTGATGTTGCAAGACAAAAATCCCCATTTTTGTTGTCCACATGTAACCGCAGAGTTACTGGAAAGCCTCGCCCTGAAAGGAGCTTTTCAAAAGCTCAGTTTAGGCATCTAAAACTGACCGAACATCTAAAACTGACCGAAACTTACTGAAAAACCTACGTATGCAAAAATCCCCGTGTTCATGTAGACAAGTCTACGGCATGATGAATTAAAACTGTTCTGAAGTCAAAAGGGGTTCCAAGCTGGTATTAGCAAAGCGTACCTAAGAAATTGATTGGTGGATATGTATGCAAGCCCAGTCTAGACCACCCGTCATCTTTCAAGTTTAAGTTCAATACTTACTAGCTAATAAAGCAAATCAAGGACAACTCAAACTGCATTAAAAGACACAAACTGTAAAAAAAAACTTGAAAGAAATATTATTTTATTAAATTGGATTTTGTTGAACAGCAGTCGGCGAGGGACACAACAACCCCACGCAACAGCAACTCAAGAAACGCACACGAAAAAAAAACAAAAAAAACCACGCTGCGCATGATGAGGCGCCTGATTATCAGTGACAGATCATCTCAAATTCATTATCACTTTTTCTGCCCTGAAAACAAATCAGCAATTTATATCCAAGCTTCACACCGATTAACTGCTCAAGTGGCAGCGTAGCATCTGTGAACGACTCGAGTGTTTTTAATGCGAGTCTGCATGAATTCTGTTCACCCCGTAAAAGAAGTAATTTCACCCCCCTTTTTATTTTTAAACACTTTAAGCAGGACGACAAATGTACACGTTTTTCACAAAGGATTAAGAAAAAAAAAAAGACACAAACACCACTTTTTTGTTTGCGTGCGCATGTTTGTGTCTGAGCTCTTGCTGTTCGCAGCACGAAAATGTGTTGGACGAAAGAATGAATGGACACTGAACATAATGACATTCATTGTTTTGGGAAAAACAGACAGAAGATAATCTCTGCAACACCAATTATTAGTCTTCGGGCCATCACTCTTGTCATAAAAACAATAGACACAGTGATAAATGTCAAGATCTGGCAGTTAACATTTATCACCTATCATAACTGCTGCCTACTCACAGTGGAGATTTACTCCCACCTACAGTTCCAGACCTATAAGTGCTGCTGGTACCTCACTAATAAACTGTACTCAAAACATTTCCCAGCATCCATGTGAGCCTGTTTAACAGATTTTTAATTTTTCAAATAATTCATTTTAAGTAAAGAAGCATGAGAAATAAATACTATCAATAAGATTACAATTTCTGTTACAGATAAAAAAAATTAATAAGG